ACCACAGCACACGCGCACACACACACACGCACACACACACACACACATACACACACACCACCACAACAACCACAACCACGCACACACGCACGCACGCACGCGCACCACCACCCACTACGCACACGCGCGCGGAGCCAGAGGTCCGCTACGACACGCGTCCGCGGATAGAGAAAATCAGCGCCATGGTAAGGGATGGGAGGGAGGGGTAGGATGTCAGATGTTGACGCGAGCGCACCTAACTTGTCCCCCTCCCCCTCCCCCTCCCCCTCCCTCCTCCTCCTCCTCCTCCTCTACCTCCTCCTCCTCTTCCTCCTCCTCCTCCTCCACCGTTTTCGAACCAGAGAGTCTCCATTAGAGGCACCAGGCCCGGGAGAGTTGGCGTGTGCTGGCACTAGATATTTTCTTGTCTTCTTTCCTCTCCTGGTTCCCTTCTGTTGCGTCGTGCTCTCCTGTCCTCGTCCTTCCTGCTTCCTTTGACACCCATCCAGCTTCGATTTCTGAATGCAGCCGCCCAGGGAGAAGGGCGTTCGCAAGCATAGATTGCGCTCTGGACCATCTACACGGAAGTTGTTGGATTTGTGTGCACGGTAACTCGAGGGACAAGTGGTCGGCTCAATGGAGTCGACGGCCTAGCTCTGCAGATGCAGACATCTCTAATGCATATTTCTCTCGTTCTCGTCCCTCTCCTGCCTCCCCTCTGTTGCGTCGTGCTCTTCCGTCCTCGTCCTTCTCCGCTTCCCATTTACTTGATTTTTTCGCAAGAACTCAACGATCAGACTTCCGGAATCGATGTCCGCATGCATTCGCCCGCGGGGACCAGCGTGCGCCAGCAGATGCACCGGCATGTGCAGGCACTGTGGAATCACACGGCTCCTTCGTGTCGTGACCAAGGGGTACCCCCTTTACTTCCCTCGCCTCGCGCACGTGCTCCTCCCATTTCGTGGCTCCCCACCTTCCACAGCAGCTATCAGGCACGAGGTGGTTTAGGCCAGCGCTCGAGGGCCGCGGCTCGCACACTCAAGTGGGCTTCCTCGGATCATGTACACTTGCCTGCGGGAAAAACATCTGGACCTAATCGGCTCCTGCCTTGCGCCCTCCTGATCCTCCTCCTCCTCCTCCTCCTCCTCCTCAATTCCTTTTCCTTATCATTAACTTCTACCTATCGCACCCCGAGGCCAAGTGTTTAGGGCGGGCTGGGCGTTTCGCCTGAGACGTCTTCACCATTCACGACAACAGCTTCACAGCTGGAGGGCGGTTCGTTGTCAAAATGCGTCTCCCGCCATAGCGCGGCGCACATTCGTTCAAAAAAATGCAATAGCTGGACCTAATCGGCTCCTGCTCTGCGCCCTCCTGATCCTCCTCCTCCTCCTCCTCCTCCTCCTCCTCCTCCTCCTCCTCCATTTCTTTTCCTTATCATTAACTTCTCCCTATAGGGCGGGCCGGGCGTTTCGCCTGAGACGTCTTCACCATTCATGACAACAGCTTCACAGCTGGAGGGCGGTTCGTTGTCAAAATGTGTCTCCCGCCAGAGCGCGGCGCACATTCGTTCAAAAAATTGCAGTTGCTCCACGGATTGAGGGCGGGTCGTTTTCAAAATGTGGCTCTAGCTTTAGCGCCGCGCACATTCTTTTCAAAGATTTACAGGAGCTTCTCGGATTGAGGGCGGATGGTTTTGAAAATGTGGCTCTCGCCTTAGCGCAGCGCACAATGGTTCTAAAGATTTGAAAGAATTTCGCAAATTGAGGGCGGGCCGTTTTCAAAATATGGCTCTCGCCTTAGCGCGGCGCACATTCGTTTTAAAAATGTGCAAGAGTTCCACGGATTGAAAGCGGGTGGTTTTCAAAATGTGGCTCTCGCCTTGGCACCGCGCAAATTCGTTTCAAACATGTGCAAGAGCTTCACGGATTTAGGGCGGGTGGTTTTCACAATGTGGCTCTCGCCTGAGCGCGGCGCACACTCGTTTAAAAATGTGCAAGAGCTTCACGGGCTGAAGGCGGTTCCTTTCCAAAATGTGACTTTCGCCTTGGCGCGGCGCACACTCGTTTAAAAAGTTTGCAAGGGTTCCACGGATTCCCATCATCAACGTGCCAGAAACGGCGTTTTGAATGGATTCTGGATTACGCGGGTGCAACAAATATGTTGGCTCGCTGTGCTTGAATCCCAGGAGTGGCGTTCTGGCACGACTCGATTTTCAGGACAATCAGGTTGGTCCGTGACGTTGGAATCCTGGGAACAATGTTGTGGCATGCTTCAGGATCTTCAAACAATCGTTTTCCACACAGACAGTTCCTTCAATGGAAATGAACCGTTGTAGGGTTCTATGAAAAGAGAGATCGAAGGGAAGGTGTATTCCAAAATCGTTGATGGCTCTTGGGCTTCCACTGGTCCTCCTCCTCCTCCCCCTCCTCCTCCTTCTCCTCTGCTCTTCGCCCTCCTGATCCTCCTCGGCCTCCCCGTGCTCCTCTTCCTCCTCCTTGTCATCCTCCATTCCTTCTCCTTATAGGTAACTCCTCCCTGTCGCACCCCGAGTCCAGTTTGTAGGGCGGGTCGGGCGTTCCGCCTCAGACTTCCTCACCCCTTATGATGAAGCTTACAAAGTGACAACAGCTTCACAGATGGAGGGCGGGTCGTGTTCAAAATGTGGCTCTCGCCCTGCCGCCGCCCACAGTCATTTCAAAAAAATCCAGGGGCTTCTCGGATTGAGGGCGGGTGGTTTTCAAAATGTGATTCTCGTCTTAGCGCAGCGCACAGTCGCCTTCAAAGACCTGCAGGAGCGTCACGGATTGAGGGCGGGTGGTTTTCAAAATGTGGCTCTCGACTTAGCGCGGCGCAGATTAGTTTTGTGCAAGAGTTCCACTGATTATAAGCGGGTGGTGTTCCAAATGTGGCCCCCGCCTTAGCGCCGCGCGAATGCGTTTCAAAAATGTGCAAGAGCGTCACGGATTGAGGGCGGGTGGTTTTCAAAATGTGGCGCCTTCGCACATTCGTTTTAAAAATGTGCAAGAGTTTTACGGGTTGAAGGCGGCTCCTTTTCAAAATGTGACTCTCGCCTTGGCGCCGCGCACACTCGTTTTAAACATGTGCAAGAGTTGCACAGGTTGACGGCAGTTCCTTTTCACAATGCGACTCTCGCATTGGCGCGGCGCACGCTCGTTTTAAAATGTGTAAGAGTTTCACGGGTCCCCATCATCAAGGTACAGAAAAAATGTGTTGGAAGGAATCAGGGGCATGCGGGCGCAACAGTTATGTTAATTCGCTGCGTTGAAGTCCCCAACCTGGGAGGCGTTCTGACACCATTCATGATCGTCAAGACGCAGCAGTCAAGTTGATACGTGGCGTTGAAATCCCGAGACCACTGTGTTGGCACGCTTCAGGATATTCTAACTGCTGTCTTCGAGCGAGGCAAATCCCTCAATGGAAATGCGCCGTTGCTGGGGCCTATGAAGAGGGAGCTTGGAGGGAGGGTTGATTCCAACACCGTTGATGACTCTTGGGTTTCCACTGGTCCTCCTCCTCCTCGCCCTCCTCCTCCTCCTCCTCCTCCTCCACCTCCTCGCCCTCATCCTCCTCCTCCTCCACCTCCTCTTCTTCCTCCTCCTCCTCCGCCTCCTCCTCCTCCGCCGCCTCCTCCTCCTCCTCCGCCTCCTCGTCCTCCTCCTCCTCCTCCTCCTCCTCCTCCCTCCTCCGCCTCCGCCTCCGCCTCCGCCTCGCCTCCTCCGCCTCCGCCCTCCTCCTCCTCCTCCTCCTCCTCCTCCTCCTCCTCCCCTCCTCCTCATCATCATCATCATCATCATCATCATCATCATCATCATCATCATCATCATCATCATCATCATCATCATCATCAGCATCATCATCAGCATCATCATCATCATCATCAGCAGCAGCAGCAGCAACCGTATCAGCATCATCAGCATCAGCATCATCATCATCAGCAGCATCCTCGTCAGCATCATCATCAGCAGCAGCATCATCATCCTCATCCGCATCAGCATCATCATCATCATCATCACCATCATCATCAGCATCACCAGCATCATCATCATCATCATCATCATCATCATCAGCATCATCATCATCATCAGCATCATCATCATCATCATCAGCATCATCATCATCATAATCATCAGCATCATCAGCATCAACATCAGCATCATCGTCGTCAGCATCATCAGCAGCAGAAGCAGCAGCATCATCAGCAACAGCATCAGCATCAGAATAATCACCAGCATCATCAGCATCATCAGCATCGGCATCAGCATCATTATCACCAGCACCACCATCATCATCAGCATCAACATCATAATCATAATCAGTATCAGCATCATCAGCATCAGCATCAGCATCAGCATCAGCATCGGCATCATCATCCACAGAATCATCATCAGCAGCAGCAGCAGCAACATCATCATCATCATCATCATCATCATCATCATCATCATCATCATAGCAGCAAAAGCATTAGCATGATCATCATTAGCAGCAGCAGCATCATCATCATCATCATCGTCGTCGTCGTCGTCGTCGTCATCAGCATCACTATCATCATCAGCATCAGTACCATCATCATCAGCAGCAGCATCATCAACAACATCATCATCATCATCATCATCATCATCCTCATCCGCATCATCATCATCATCATCATCACCACCACCACCATCATCATCATCATCATCATCATCATCATCATCATCATCCTGCTCTTCGCCCTCCTGATCCTCCTCGGCCTCCCCGTGTTCTTCCCCTTCCTCCTCCTCCTCCTCATTTTCCTGCTCTTCGCCCTCCTGATCTTCCTCGGCCTCCCCGTTCTCCTCTTCCTTCTCCTCCTCGCCCTTCTTCTCCTCCTCCTCCTCCTCCTCCTCCTCCTCATCCTCCTCCTCCCCCCCTTGTCCCGAAAGGTCTTTGGAGGCACGGACCAGAGACGCCCAGCAGCCTCGATCCTACATCGCCCTCCTCGAACTGAGGCGGATGCACGGGCAGACGGGGCGCGGGCGGGCCTTCTGGCGGAAGCCGCTGTGCACCGAAAAGAGGAAGAGCGAGTTGCTAGAGACCTCGGCCATGTACGAGGGGGAGGGAGGAGGAGTAGGGAGAGCAGGACGGTGAGAGGGGAGGGAGGGAAGGAGTGAGGTAGGACGGGTGAGTTTGGATGATGTGCTCCTCCGGGCTGCAGGTCAGCCCGCAGCCCGCGTGGCCTTCTCACGCGCGCTGCTCGAGGGGCGACTGGCCAAACGGCCACCCTCGGCGCCACGGCCACGCACGGAGCCCAGCACCAAAATGCTCCAGCCATAGCCCCCAACCCTGGGGCCAATGATGGCCGCCTTTCCAGCTCCAGCGGCCTCCTGAGCGTCCCCGCTCGCCCCCGCGGCAGCGTCCAGCGGTGGCCAGAGACGCTCAGTCTGCTGTGTCGTGGGCGGCTGCGTCGACTAAAGAATTGGTGTACCCCACTATGGACTATGGGTTTCCACGTCGAATGTTTAACACAAATACGTAGAGTATCTGCAGATCTCCGAAAGTTCTACGAATTGTCCGTAGATCCGACGAGAAAACCAGGTCTGGGGCACATCAATTCTGTCGTCGATCCCCTTGTTCGAAGCAGGTCTCAGTCGTGCCAGGGTGGACGAGGCCCAGGCAGTTGCAGCGCAGCTCGTGGCCCACGGACGACGCCGCTGCATGCAGCGCGCGCTGCACTTCAGGAACCCAGCAGGCAGTTTCGGCGGATCTTCCTGAACCTATGAGATGACGATGCGGTGCCAAAGCTGCCACGGCGCGCCCAGCCCCATGGGCGGCAAGTCCTGGCTGCCGTCGCTCCGTGCGGCTGGTCCAGTCTTCTCGCTGGGGCATGACCTCGCCTGGGCTGCACCTTCCCTGACTGCGTCGGCAATACTGTGCCAGCGTTGGGCGCTGGCTGCATGTGACCCTCGCCCTGCGGCAGGGCCAGGGATGAAGAGAGGAGGATGACGCACCTTAGAAGGCGAGCTTCCTGAATACCTTGTCCTCTCGATATTTGATAAATGAAATTCTCGTCGTATGGATGTGTATGCCCACCTCTTCCAGGAAATGTTGTACCACCTGCTGTATGGTTTGCCCGTCTCTCGTCACATGGGGGTTGTGTTTTGTCGTCCACCCAGAGCTCTCATATGAATACCCTGCATCGAGCCGCTCTGAGTGCCCGAAGTTATATAACTGAAGACCCGGAGTTATCCTATCTGAGTAGCAAGACAGAGAAGGAGGAGGAGGAGGAGGACCAATGAAAAACCAAGACGTATCAATCGATGTTGCAAAACACCTTCCCTCGATGCTCCTTCGTCACAGGTCCCTACAAGGGAATATGTTAACTTATGGAAGTGTTCCGTTGGAAGACAACCGTCTGAGAATCCTCAAGCGTGCCAAGACACCATTCTTTGGACGACGGTGCTGCGAAACAATTGTTGTTGCGTCATGACGATCCTTCATCATGCCAGAAGACAACCCCTGGCACTTCAACACAACAAATGAACGTGACTGATGCGCCCTGACACTCCTACATCTTGCCGGAATACCATTCCTGGGACGGCCAAACATAATAATCCGTCGAATGATTTAACACTCTTACAACGGATGTGCGCGGCGCTGGAGAGCCACATTCTGAAAAGGAGCCACTTTCCATCCGTGCAAGTATTGCAGAATGTTACGACGAATGTGCGCGACCTCAGGCGAGGGCGATATTTTGAAAACCACCCGCCCTCCATCTGTGAAACTCTTGCAAACCATTCAGACGAATGTGCTCGAGTTATGGCAAGAACAACATTTCGACATACACCCGCACCCAACCCGTGTAGTTCTTTCAAGGTTGTACAACGAATGCGTGCGGCGCTAAGGCGAGAGACAAATTTTGAAAACCACTCGCCCTCCATCCGTGAAACTGTTGCAAATTCTACGGCTCAGGATCACGCAGCGTGAGGAAGTCTCAGGTGAAACGTCTGGCCCTCCCTACCGACACGTCTCGGCGTGCGACAAGGAGGAATCATGTATAATGAAGAAGTATGGAGAAGGAGAAAGATCTGTGCTTTTGAACCGTAACGGCTCCTTCGGGGCCTCCAGATGGCTCCAGAGGCCTCTTGACCCAGGAGGGGGGAACGAGCAAGCGCAGGGCGGGGGGGACAGGAGGGCGAGCTGCACCGAGGCTGCAGGCCCTCGGCTGTGTACCACCCTCGGCAAGCTCGGCCCCCCCCCCGGCGCTCTCACCGCTGAGCCCCGTCTCGACACCTTCTTCTGACGAGGATCGGGGGGGGGGGACCGCCTGATCCTGCAATATAAAATCTTCGGCAGCTTGGACATAGCAATGCGCGGCCCCCGTATGAGTTTACATGGACGCGCGAGGGGGCCGACAACGCTCACTCGAGCTCACATCAGACAAACCTCGTAGAAAGGATGGCCACTACCACAATCGGAATCACAACTAAGAGGCTGGCCCGTTTGCTCTTGCCCCAGATTCTAACCAATGGCTGGGAGGTCGCATCTCCAGGCTTGATGATGCGGAACACTGGCTCTGCCTGCGCACAGAAAGATCTTTGCGACGACGACGTGTAAAAATGTACATGGCACTGGAGTTGAGTAGGACCACTAGCAAAACAGGGAACAGAAGCAGAAAGAGCTCTTCCAGGAGAACGTCACGCAGCCCAAGTCATGTCAATACAAACCGACAGCATTTCGCTGCGATGCTCAAAAGCGGAGAGATACAACGACCACATGAACGCGAAACTGGTACGATACGATGAAGTCCACCCGTGCCTTTGATATTGTCTTGAGCGTATACAGAAGCAGATACGATGACCTCGCTGAACCGCGCTAATCAAAAATTCAGCCAACAAAAACTCCGGCACTCGAATTATGATCATGAGGATTTACTACCATATGCTGGCCATAAGCAACGCCGTCTGGACCAAGCTAAACGAGGCTGCGGCTAAGCTCGGCTAGGCTAGATTGAAACTAACCAATACTGACGCTGTTTACTACTCAAGTTCCCGTGCGCCTGTTCGACCTGCTCGTCCTACTGTCTTGTTGTACTCAAGTTCCCGTGCGCCTGTTCGACCTGCTCGTCCTACTGTCTTGTTGGTCACCACGAGCAGCACAATATGGCCATCGATCGCCCAAACGCATCGTCAACAACATGGACATGCGACGCTGGTGGTGATGATGACGCGGCGATGTAACATGTCAATGCGAAATGGTGCCACATGATGATGACCAAGCACGTGGTCCCGAAGCAGTGGGCCGTCAGCCTATGGGCCATCGGCCCTTGGCCCTGAACCTTGAACGATAATAGAAAATGCCCTTCGTGGATGATGATGTAACATGGGCCATGGGCAATGATCGGGATGATGATATAGCATCAATTATGCCGTGCACCCTGTGCTGGAATGCTCACACACAAAGCGGACACACCAAGTAACCACCCCCACGACTATGCACCAATATGTACGATTTGCCCGGACAAGGTGTGCCCCGCAGAATTTGTTGCGGAAGATTGACACGGGCGCGAACGACTGGCCTGGAACTCGGGGCCTTGGGGCATCCAGCTCCAGCCATTAATAACGGCGGGGTCAGGGGGGGAGCAAGGTGAAATTACGCGCCCGCCGGTGACTGACTGGCGAACTGACGTCAACGGACAGCTCGGGAAACACCTGCCCGCGGGCGCGCGCAACAGCAACGGCGACCGCAACCACAACCGGCGGGCGTCTGATCTTGGCACGCATGCGCCCGCAACCGCACCCGCAACCGGTCAACGCAATGCCGGCAACAGCGGGCACCCGCGATGGCACCCGCGACCAGACCCGCAAACGCACCCATTACCACCGTTCGGCAACACATTTTGGGCCGCGGGGGCGCAAGCAACCGCGCCCACAACCGCACGCTGACACGCAATCGCCGCGCTTACCACCGCACCAGCGCCCGCACCCACCAAGCACAATCAAGCAAGCAACCTGTCGAAGACTGCGAACGCCCGCAACCGCACCCGCAACGGCAACTGAGCAACGCATGATGGGGTCGTGGGCACCCGCAAGTGCCCCCGCAAGTGCACCTAGCAGCCGCGTCCACATCCGCGCCGACAACCACGCCCTCAACCGCACCTGGGCAACGAGTTGTGGACGGCGGGCACTGGCAACCGCGCCCGGAACCGCACCCGCAACTGCGCCGCAACCGAAATCAGGCAACGCAGTTTGGGGTTAGAGCGCCCGCGACCGCGCCGACAACCAGACCCACAACCGCGACAGCGACCGCAACGGGGCAAAACATGTTGGCCCGCGTGCGCCCGCACCCGCAACTACAACCGCAGCCCGAACCGCAAACGCAAGCTGGTTGATGGAACACCCTCTGGACAAGACACCACTCGATGTCGAGTGGGTGAAGATCGCCTGCCTCACCTCGACGCCCCCGACGGAGGATGCAGAGCGCCAGCTCGCACGCGGCCGCCATGCACCCCAAGCGCGTCGCGATTGTCGGGCCCGCCCGATAGGGGGGCCCATCCTGATTTGCTCGTCACTCGAGGGCGCGACGCACTTGTTTGGGCTGGTGCACTGCAAGCGCGTGGATGTAAACACTGCACCACAACGGTGAATCGCGAGGAGTTTATTGTCGTGGTCGCCCAGCGTGGAGTACTCCCTGGCGAAGACTCGATGCAATGAGGCGTCGACGTCGACGTTGTCCTCCTCCTCGGTGTCGAGCTGGGTCTGTCACACTAGTCGAAGGCAGCGGATGCGTGCTACGGCGCGCGGGCTGCCTTCCGCGGGCGGCCCAAATGCGCTGGGAGCCGGCGCCGCGGACAGGCCGGTCGCGCCACCTGCAGGACGCGGCGGCCGTCGGCGGCGGACGCCTCGAGCTGGAAGCCGCGGGCCCCGTTGCTGCGCAAATTAAAATTCAAGCCGAGGGACTAGGCGCGCGCCGCAAGGGCGCTGTCTACGAATTCGCACCAAACCAGCTCGTCGTGAGAGAAAGCATGGAAGCTTCGGAAGGCTGTTGCTAAATCTTCAGAAAACCATGGGTGCTTCAAGATTTGTACAAAATGCTACCGAACGGGCTTCGCGCGCGCTCATGTCGAAATCTGTGCGACAAGCAAGACGAAGTGCAGACGCGCGCGTCGTCGCGCGCGTATGCCGAAATCCTTCAAAACCCTTCGGTTTCGGAAGGATTTCAACATCGTGTGCCCCAACAACCTACAAAAACACAAGGTTTCGCAACACGGACTTTCAACAAAAGCGTGCGCGCGCTCTTGCGTCGTCGTCGTCGTCGTCGTCGTCGCCGTCTTCCCTCCTCCCGCGTCGTCGTCGTCGTCGGCGTCGCCTACGACGTCCTCTGTCTTTCCTCCTATTCGTCGTCGTCGTCCTCTTTGGCGTCGTGGTCGTTTCCGTCGTCGTTGTCGCCGTGGTCGTTCTTCCTCCTCCTCCCTCGTCGTCGTCGTCGTCCGTCGTCGGCGTCTCGTCGTCGTCCCTCCTATTTCGTCGCCGTCGTCGTCGTCGTCGTTATCATCGTCGTCGTCTTCCCTCCTCCCTCGTCGTTGTCTTCGTTGGCGTCGCCGTCTGTCCTCCTTTTTCGTCGTTCGCGTCGTCGCCGTCCTCCCTCCTCCCTCGTCGTTGTCGTCGTTGTCGTCGTTGTCGCCGTCGTCGTCCTCCCTCCTCCCTCGTCGTCGTCTTCGTTGGCGACGTCGTCGTCGTTTTCGTCGTCGTCGTCGGCGTCGGCGTCGTCGTCGTCTTCGTATTCGTCGACGTCTGCGTCGTCGTCGTCGCCGCCGCCGCCGTCGTCGTCGTCGTCGTCGTGTCGTCGTTGTCGTCGTCGTCGGCGTCGTCGTCGGCGTCGTCATCGTCGTCGTCGTCGTCGTCGTCGGCGTCGTCGTCGTCGTCGTCGTCGTCGTCGTCGTCGTCGTCGTCGGTCGTCGTCGTCGTCGTCGAAGTCGTTGGAGACGTCGTCGGTGTCGTCGTAGTCGTTGTCGGCGGCGTCGTCGTCGTTGTCGCTGTCGTCGTCGGCGTCGCTGTCGCTGCCAAGCGACATTTGGTACCCACCGTTACGGTCTTAAGAGATTTTGCAAACCAAGTTGCGGGTGGGTGTGTGGGATGTTTGCGCGAGCAGTGGAGTTGTCAACTTCAAGTTCGGCAAGCGAACTGCACCACATAAAATGCACCACGAATAGTGCCCCACTTCGGTTGCACCACGCGAAACCACATAGATATCACAACATACGATGCACCGAATGTATTCTCCTTTCTAAAAACAGAATAAGATCTACCCCCCCCCCTGGCGTTATCGGTCACCCTTTCGGTTATGTAAATCATATATGATTCTGACCACATGTCCATCCTAAAAATGAATTTACACTATCCCCGGGGGGCCGGCATCCCCCCCCCTGAGGGTCCCTTGTAAAAGACACTACGCGGAGACTTTTTTTGTTCTAACATAGCACTTTTTCGCAAATCCCTTGCACAAGATGGGACGAAGTGCACACGCGCGCGTCGTCGCGCGCGCATGCCGGAATCCTTCAAAAACCTTCGGTGCCGGAAGGATTTCGCAATCGAGTCTCCAAGAAAACATACAAAAACACAGGGTGTCGCAACACTGATTTGCTAAAACAGCTTCCGCGCGAGCTCTTGCGAAAACTTAACCAAACCATAGGTTTGTCAAGATTTCCACATAATGCTACCAAACGGGCTTCGCGCGCGTGCATGTCGAAATCTGTCGAACGCCCTTGCGCGTGCGCGTCGCGAGAATCCTGTGCAAAAAACGAAGCGAAGTGCAGACGCGCGCGTCGTCGCGCGCGCATGCCGAAACTCTTCAAACGCATCAGTTTCGGAAGGATTTCAGAATCGTGTGTCCAAAAAACCTACAAAAACCCAACGTTTCGCAACGCGGATTTTAAACAAAAGCGTGCGCGCGCGCGCTCTTGCGTCGTCGTCGTCGTCGCCGTCGTCGTCGCCGTCCTCCCTCCTCCCGCGCCGTTGTCGTCGTTGTCGCCTACGTCGTCCTTTGTCTTTGCTCGTGTTCGTCGTCATCGTCCTCTTTGGCGTCGTGGTCGTTTCTGTCGTCGTTGTCGCCGTGGTCGTCTTTCCTCCTCCTCCCTCGTCGTCGTCGTCATCCGTCGTCGGCGTCTCGTCGTCGTCCCTTCCAATTCGTCGCCGTCGTCGTCGTCGTGGTTGTCGTCGTCGTCATCCCTCCTCCCTCGTCGTTGTCGTCGTCGGCGTCGCCGTCCTTCCTCCTTCTTCGTCGTTCGCGTCGTCGCCGTCCTCCCTCCTCTCTCGTCGTTGTCGTCGTTGTCGTAATTTGTCGCCGTCGTCATCCTTCCTCCTCCCTCGTCGTCGCCTTCGTTGGCGTCGTCGTCGTTTTCGTCGTCGTCGTTGTCGTCGAAGTCGTCGGAAACGTCGTCGGTGTCGTCGTAGTCGTTGTCGTCGGTGTCGTCGCAGTCGGTCTTAAGAAGTTTTGCAAACCAAGTTGCGGGCGGGTGGGTGGGATGTTTGCGCGAGCAGTGGAGATGACGACTTCAAGTTCAGCAGAGTGGATTGTACTA